AAAAATAGGAAGCATCATGGTAATATTTATGTCTGGGAGCAGAGCGGGCAGCCGCTTCTTGCGAGAGGAGCGAGAGCGGGCAGATGTGTACAGGCACCGACAGACACAGAATGACTGATCAAGAGGCTGACCAAGGAGTCGTGACTGATCGACTGATCGACTAATCGATTGACCGATCGATCGAACGATTGACCGATTCGACTGACTGAGACTGACATGGCACGGCGACTCCGATCGAGAACACGGTCACAACGTCACAGGCCACCTGCTGGCACACAAACAAACACACGGACAGGTTAGTCACCACCACACACCAGATATGTAGGATATACCCCGGGCAAACGTGCACGGTGACGAACCGGCGGGCCATCCAAACTTTATTTTAGAGCCTGCGAACTTTTCCCTTACGACCGTTAACATTCTGCTGATTTCTCCTTTCCCAAACGATCTCGGAGGTTCGCCAACTTTTCCCTTCGCGTTCTTTCTTTGGAAACATCGGTAAAGAAGGCAGTGAACATAAAATGAATATTAAGGAGCAACGAGTTTGTGCACCAAGGGAGATGGCGCTCTCTGACCCGCCGGAAGTTGCTAAGGTAAATGAGTCGAATAAACACACTGTCTTGCGGATATGACGTCACCGTGCAACGTGTACACAGGTAGTAAGTCGATACGTCGTTTTTACACAGAAGCGACAAGGATCATTCTTCCTTATTAATTTAAGAGAAAAAGGAAAAAACAAAGGCAACTGCCGCATAATGACGATGAACTTATTTTCCAAGTAATCATTACTATTTTTATATTCGTCATTAGTTTAATACAATTTGATTCTCGTTGCTTCTTGTACACCATTGTGGTTCGTCGATATCTGTCCTTTCGTCGAATAAATAATTTAACAAATAAAATAACGAGCAGGTAAGATTTATACGTAATGAAATATTTCAGGAAGAAGAAAATCGACGAACCACCGTTGGAAATGATGGTGCTCGACGTCCGACGACATCCCAGAAAAAAAAGAACACACGGCGATGTTAGTACTAACAACTAAAGAAGCGTCATAGCGTAAATTAACCATCAAACTTCGAGATATTACTGTCACGATAGAACGTTTCAAGTCCTGTGTGCCCTGCACAGTTAGAAAATAAGAGAAAAAAAAATAAAAAAGAAAAAGGAAAGAAAAAAATTGAAAAAGAAGAAAAGAAATAACGAGGGACCGAACATCGCGATTGTGTTTGTATAGTGGCGTAATCAGAAAATTAAATAAATTAGTGAGGTAGGCCGTTGCGGTTGTTTTCATTGGTACCTTGTGACCGGCAGGACAACGAACAAATAATTATCGACGATGTTACTGAAAAAATATGTATGTATATGTATATATATAGATGTAGAAATATATAAATACGTAACGTATATATACGTGTATATAAAACGAGTAAAAAAGGAACAATAGAAGCAGATCTTAAAAAAAGTAAAACAAACAAGTAAAAATAAGAACAACAACAACAACAAAAGTAAGTTTAGTTAAACGTACGAAACTTAACGTTGCGTGAGAGAAAAAAACTCAAAGCGAACTACTTGTACTCTCATATCCTGAGGAGAAGCTACACGGTGAATTGGTTAGTGAAACTTCACGTTTACGTAATTTCCACTTTGTGCACAAAAGTTAGCACAAAAAGCTTGATTGGCAGCCGTTTGCAACGAAATGAACTTTGATTACACCACTGGCGCGAAAAAAGGGGGCTGGTGGGGCGGTAGAGGGCTAGAAGGGCAGGCTTGCACCTTCGAGAATATCGAAGGACGAGCAATGGTATATAAGAGAATATTTAGGTCTCGTTTTGATGCTACTGTTATATTTTCATACTTGACATGCATGGCAACCAAATGCTAGTCCTGAGATACTGTACATGAAGAATTACACGATTTTGAGAGATATGATTAACCTTCTCCTATTAACATTTATGACCATATTTGAACATTTTAATGAAATAGAGAACTACTGAACAAAGTTTTGAAATATCGATATGTATACTTAGAAAATATTTTGAAGCATGATTTTTCTTGATTTCTCAAATATGTATAGATAGCAGAAAACCGAATAAACCAATATTTAAACTCTTTTGAAACTGAATAATTATTTTTAAATTACTATTATTTTGTACATGTATTTGTAAAGCGTGAAATATATAAATGAACCATGTGAAAGTTACAAATTTATTTTTGAGAACTTGACATTGCAGGCATCCTTATTGATTGGAAAGACAGGATATTTTTACGAAAAGTAATTAATAATTAAACATTCTTCCTACAGTAAGACATTCGATACAGCACAGCTACAGATATACAAACAGTGCTCTCGGTAAAAACAGAATATAATAAAACTAAGATAATAGTTTATAGTAATAAAAACGAAAATCTACATTGAATTAGTTCAACAATGAATTTTCAATATCACGCCCATGTCACTTTTCACAACGTGTTTTCTCCGTGTACAGTAATCAGTGACGACAGTATGTACTTAGAAAGTTGTCGATCGGGAAACCGAACGAGTGTTACAGAAAGATTTTAAACGATTGGCATACTAATCGAATGCTTTAGATAGCATTTCAAGAGAGAAAAACGAAAACAAAAAATAAAATAAAATAAAAAATATACAAGATACAGAAGGACAAGAAAGTAGTTCCTGATATCTTATCATCAGCAATAAAACGGAAACCGAAATATTCATTGAGTCACCACTGCATTCAACAAGAACGTAACTTGTATGTCACTTTGTAACTGCCGTTGAATCCTATCATGGTACGAGATATCGATTTGGAAGAGCGACACGTTCAATAAAAAACACGTATATCACGAGAAATACAGATATACAACAGCCAAACAAACGAAGAAAAGACAGGTATAGTCTTCTGGGTATAAGAATACCAGAATATGCACGTAGGTATATATGGACGGACTGACAGGTAGAGAAACCTGAATTCTAGAGAAAACTAGATCTAGTTTGGAGCTAGTTCGAACGTTTCCAAAAACAAAATATATACATGTATATATATATAGAACGTTAATCCTAATTACTTCTTACTCTTTGGAAAGCAGCTCAGACGATATATATAAATAAGTCTTTAACATTATCACAGCCTCGTTTCGAGTAAATTTAACGTAGAATTTCGAACGAAAATTTCTTTCTAAAACGGAAAAACACAATCAAGGATTTTTCTCCGACCTTCACAGGAAATACTGAATGACTAGAGATGATTCGTTTGTACAAGCAACGCCTGCTGGATATTTTGGTCGAATGGAGAGAGCTAATCTACCTATTTACCTATCCAGACCGAGGAACATACCGATCCAACGATCGACGCCGTGAGATTTATCGAATGTGTGAACAGTGGTATGTATTTCTTATATTTCTTTTTTTTTTTTTTTTG